GGGGGAGTACCGAAATTAGTGATGAGTGTAAGAACAAGTATCTTGAAGGATCAAATCACGGAGCAGCTCAGCGTCATAGTTAACGAAACGGCAGGACTTACGAGGACGCTCGAAGAGTATCGTTTGAGAATTAACAGCAAAGGTAGCTTTTGTAAAGCCTCTTGCATAATTTGCGACTTGCTAAACATTTTTTCCGTGCAAAATGAGGTACACCTACAAGATACTCCACTAAAATCCATCACTGTAGAAAAATAAAGAAAGTAAACTTATCATTCTTCAGATGAGGAAATAGCTGCATTGCGTCGCCGTGTCGATCAGGAACAAAGCCTTTCGGAAGAACAAATTCGAGTCATCAAAGACGACCTAAGAAGCGAGATGTTATCCTCAGACGAGTATCAAAATAGCCTTATGGAAATTGAACGGTTGCATTCTGAGGTGACATCGATAAAGGCAAGATTAGTGTGCTATGACATTTTTTTAGATCGCAACATATGAACGAAAGCGAGAGAAGGAAGAAGAGGCCGAAAAAGAACGGGAGAAAGTTGTGAAAAGATTGGAAGCCGAGAATAGAGAGCTAAAATCAAAAGTATCCAAATTTGAACAGGTAAGCTTTTGCGAGGTTCCATTTGTAGAGAAGTCTAAAATGCAGAGACTGGACTTCTGAATCACCACTTGTTTACCACACCTTGATTTTTGATATGAGTGGGAAAACGCCTAAAACTTGATTGCTAAACAATTCTTGATTTTTCCATTTTACGTTCTTTTTATTTCGCTCTTAATGCTGAAGCAGTGAAGCACAGGTCACTCTTTTTTCTTCAGAGCGATCAGCATGCGGAGCTGCAATCGCTGAAGTCCTCACTTGCCGAAAAAGAAGAAGAGCTGTACAGCGCAAAAGAAGATGCGGCAAAACTCAAAGGTTTGCGAAGAAAGAAGGTCCTTTTCTACAGCCCACCCTTTTCAAAGTGATTTAGCTGAAAACGACGAACTTCACAAGGAAAAAGAAAGGACAAGAAATTCAGATGAAATGGTGTGCTTACCCGATATTTTCAACAAGCACTTAATTCAAGCTTTCAGCTAAGAGAAGAAATGGCTGCACTTGAAAGTGACAACAACGAAAAAACCATTCAAATTGAAGCACTACATGTACGGTCAGTCAGCCTTTTGTGTAAGTCGCGCGACGCGGATGATAAGAAAGTTTTCGCAGGGTAAAAGAGCTTCTTGATCAAATGGGTGGCATAAAAGAGGAGTTGGATAGGAAAAACGTTGAGTTGCAGCAAATCGGAGACCGCTCCGAGATAAGGTGATTAAATTTCCATTCTGTACTGCCAGTAAATTTTTTTGATAAATCAAGGATTCCAGGTTCGAAAATCCAATGACGGAAGCCGAGGAAAAAATAAAACATATGACCAGAGAGCATGAAAAAATTATCAACCAGATGAAGGTAGACATATATTAGCTAGGAGTAGCTCCAAACCACTATGGCCAATATT